TTTAATCTGTGACTTCTTTTCGACATTAGTTATTCCCAGTTAGACTCCAATGGAAAGTCACTAATTATGACTCCAATCAAAACTGGAAGAATTTTTGCCACCTAGTAACCAAACGGAATTTCTACTGAAAGTAATGCTTAAACATGTGGTCTATTCTGAGAAAAAAAGGTACAGCTTTCACTCTATAACAGTTTACTCATTTTTGTCCTCTTGAGAGTAATAAGAGTATTACCAAAAGTGGTGTCTGAATGTTTCAAATCAGAAGATGAGAAAGCAAATTCTTCTTTTTGAATGGCCTAAATTTGATTGTAAGTCTCACTATTGTTTCTCTTCTGCAGGACTAGGGAGAGGAGAAAGTTATTTTGGTCTTAATTCACTCACAAGAGCATCTTTGTTGAGCCAACCAGAGCCAGTTACTGTTGTGTGGGTAGTGTCTGTGGCAGTTGAGTGAAACTGAAGACATTTGACACATCGTGAAGAAGTTTAATCTCTTGCCAACCACAAGTAACTAATTGCCAGAGAGAGTTCCTTCCACAAATTTGAGATTTCAGAGCACTCTCTTTGCAAGAAATCTTGGCTTCAATGAAAGGACATCTGAGCCTACATTTTCTTTTCATTTTTCTATGGAGGTTGTCTGTCTTTGTCTCTACCTTTCATGCATATTTGATCACTCTTTCCATCTGTTAAAAAAGAATTTCTTTTTTCTTTAGAAATAGAATTTCTATTTCTTTCTGGCATACACTGCCAAAAGTTTTGTTTTGTTTTGTTTTAGTTGACACACACTGTAACTTTAGTTTAGGTGTATGACTTAGTGATTTGACAAGTTTATCATTTTTTTATGCTCACCACAAGTATAGCTACCATCTGTCCCATTATATCATTATTATAATATCACAAACAGTATTTCTTATGCTCTATTTTTTTTATTTTATTTGAATTCCAGTATAGTTAATATACAGTGCTGTATTAGTTTCAGGTATAAACTACAGTGATTCAACAATTCTATGTATTACTCAGTGTTCATCATGATAGTACACTTTTAATCCTTTTCACCTGTCTCCCCCCCACCTCCCATTCGGTAACCATCAGTTTGTTCCCCATAGTGAAGAGCCTATTTTTTTCTGGTTTGTCTCTTTTTCTCTTTGTTCCTTTGGGTTTTTTTCCTTCAAATTTCACATACAAGTGAAATCATATAGTATTTGTCTTTCTTTGACTGACTTATTTCACTTAGCATTATGCCCTCTAGATCCCTCCATGTTGTTGCAAATGGCAATATTTCATTCTTTTTTTGTACCTGAATACTATTCCATTATATATAATGGAATTATCCATCTACTGATGGACACTTGGGCTGTTTCCATATCTGGGCTATTGTAAATAATGTTGCAATAAACATATGGGTACACATATCTTTTCCAATTACTGTTTTCATATTCTTTGGGTAAATACCCAGTAATAGAATTACTGGATCATATGGTAACTCTATTTTTAATGTACTGAGAAACCTGCATACTCTCTTCCACAGTAGCTCCACCAACAGTGCACAAGAGTTCCATTTTATCCACCTCCTCACAAACATTTTTTTTTCTTGTGTTTTTTACTTTACATTCTGACAGGTGTGAGGTGACATCTCATTGTGGTTTTGATTTGCATTTCTCTGATGGTCAGTGATGTTGAGCATGTTTTTGTGTGTCTGTTCACCATCTGTATGTCTTCTTTGGAGAAATATCTGTTCATGTCTTCTGCCCATTTCTTAATTGGATTGTTTATTTTTGGGGGTTGAGTTGCATTTTGGATACTATCCCTTATTGGATATGTCATTTGCAAATATCTTCTCCCATTCAGTAAACTGTCCATTAGTTTTGTCGATTATTTCCTTTGCTGTGCAAAGGTTTTTTGTTTTTGTTTTTTTTTTTTTAATTTTGATGTAGTCCCAATAGTTTATTTTTGCTTTTGTATCCCTTTCCTTAGGAGACATATCTAGAAAATTGTGGCTGAAGTCAAAGAAATTACTGCTTGCAGTCTCTTTTAGAAAATTTTTGGTTTCAGTTCTCACATTTAGATCTTTAATCCATTCTGAGTTTATTTTTGTGTATATAGTAAAAAGTGTTCCAATTTTATTCTTTTGCAGGTAGCTGTCCAGTTTTCCCAACACAGTTTTGTTGAAAAGACTGCCTTTTCCCCACTGCATATTCTTGACTGTGTTGAAGATTAATTGACCATATAATCATGGGTTTACTTCTGGATTTTCTATTCTTTTCTATTAAACTATGTGTCTATTTTTTGTGCTAGTACCATAGTTTTGATTACTATAACTTTGTAGTATATCTTGAAATCTGGAATTATGATACCTCTAGTTTTGTTTTTCGGGGCTATTTGGGGTCTTTTGTGGTTCTATACAGATTTTGGGATTATTCTAGTTTAGTGAAAAATGCTATTGGTAATTTGATGGGTATTGCACTAAATTTGTAGATTGCTTTAGGTAGTATGGACATTTTAACAATATTTGTCTTCCGTCCCATGAGCATAGAATATCTTTCAATTTGTGTCATCTTCAATTTCTTTCATCAATGTTTTATATTTTTTCAGAGTACAGTTATTTCACCTCCTTTGTTAAGTTTATTCCTAGGTATTTGATCAGTTTTGGTACAATTGTAATGGGGTTGTTTTCTTAATTTCTCTTTCTGTTACTTCGTTATTAGTGTATAGAAATGCAGCGGAGTTCTGTATATTGATTTTGTATCTTGCAATCTTACTGAAATCATTTATCAGTTTTACTTGTTTTTGTAGAGTCTTTAGGGTTTTCCAAATACAGTATCATGTCATCTGTGAACAGTACAAGTTTTACTTCTTCCTTACCAGTTTGGATGCCTTTTATTCCTTTTTCTTTTCTGAATGCTGTGGCTAACTATTGCAGTACCATGTTGAATAAACCTGGTGAGAATGGACATCCTTGTGTTGTTCCTGACCTTAGGAGAAAAGTTCCCAGTTTTTCACCATCGAATATGATATTATCTGTGGGTGTTTTCATATATGGGCTTAATTTTGTTGAGGTATGTTCCCTCTAAACCTACCTTGCTAAGGATTTTTATCATGAATGGATGTTGTACATCATCAAATGCTTCTCAGCATCTATTGAAATGATAAGATATTTATCCTTTCTTTTGTTTATGTGATGTGGCACCTTGATTGATTTGTGAATACTGAACCACTCTTGCAACCCAGCAATAAATCTCACTTGATCATGGTGATTGATTTTTTTTTTAAGTTTATTTATTTACTTTGAGAGAGAGAGAAAGAGAGAGTATGGGAGAGGAAAGAGATAGAGGGAGAGAGAGAGAGAGAGAGAGAGAGAGAGAGAGAGAGAGAGAGAATCCCAAGCAGGCTCCACACTGTCAGTGTAGGATGATTTTCTCCTGCATTTTGTTGATGTGGTGTATGACAATTGATTAGTGAATACTGAACCATCCCTGCATCCCTGGAATAAATCTCACCTGATCATGGTGAATATTATTTTTAAAGTATTTTTGTATGTGGTTTGCTAATATTTCATTGAGAACTTTTGCATATAAGTTCATCAGGGATATTGACCTGTAGTTTTGTGTGTGTGTGTGTATGGCATGGGGGAGGGGGGCGGTCTTTTTCTGGTTTTGGTAATGTTGTCATTTTAAAATGTTATCTGGAAGCTTTCCTTCCTCTCTTATGTTTTGGAATAGTTTGTGGAGAATAGGTATTAACTCTTCTTTAAATTTCTGATAAAATTCACTTGTGAATCCATCTGATCCTGGACTTTTGGGGGTTTTTTTGTAGTTTTTTTGATTTTTGAATCAATTGTGTTACTTTTAATTGGTCTGTTCAGATTTTCTATTTCTTCCTGCTTCAGTTTTGAAAAATTTTATGTTTCAAATATTTGATCCATCCCTTCTAGGTTGTGCAGTTTGATGTCATATAGTCAAAATTCTCTACTTCACATCATTTTCTAGACATGCTAACTTGGTTCTAGCATAAGTGAAGTTCTCCAGAGAGAAGAACATGAATGATCAAATACTTAAAAGAGACTTGTCTACATTTAAACATGCTATTAAATCAAATCTGTAGGCTAAGAAAAATGACTAATAGTTCATTTGCAAGCTGAATTACTGCATTTGCATAATTATTTAAATCCCAAAGTTTTTGTTCTTGATCTGACAAGATATGTGAATAACTGAAAACATAACATACAAATCCCTGTTTTACGTTTTCAGGAAAATATTGTTTCTACAAGTGTTTCTAAAGTTTCCTAATCCACAAGGCACAACCTTAAGCAAATGCAGATCAATGTATCTGACAGCTAGAGGAATTTATACAAATTAGGAAGTGGTAAGACGAGGCCCCAGCCAAAGTATGGTCTCAGGTAGCAATACAAGAATGAGGTGACTGCACATGTCAATCAATCCACTAAAATTAATTAGGCAATGCTATACACGTTTGCAGCATAAGACCTACAAAAGTGATGGTCATTATCCTAAAGGCTCTCATATCAACTTGATATTGAAGTGTTGACTTCTTTGTCCTAGGCTGGCCAAGCTTTTATGACTGTCAGACACTGGGGAGAAGAAAGGTTCTAATGTTTTTCTTTAAAGGAAGAGAAACATTTTAGGATTTACTAAGGTCTTACTAACAGGAGTTAGTGTAAAAATTAATACCCTGAGGTGGCCTGCACTTACTAAGTACATTTCCAAGTGCCTAAATTCTCATGACAGAGAATATTCCATATATCCAACTGTACCGAATGACAGAGAAATACTCAGAAGACACGTGAAAAATACTGCTAAAAACTTTTAATTCCTGGTCAGTTTAGAGATTTGAGAAGAAAGACATAGATGATAAATGTATCCTATGAGTCAAATGGTCTTGTATTCCAAACCTGGCTCCATCATTTATAAATGATATGACCTCAGGAAAAGTGTCCTTATTTCTTTTTGCACTTCAGTTCTGTCACCTATAAAAAGTGGAAAGTATTGTGCTCACTTCAGCAACAGATATACTAAAATTGGAACAATCCAGGGAAGATTAGCAAGGTCCCTGCACAAGGATGACACACAAATTTATGAACCATTCCATATTTTTCTTAAGTGGCAAATGTACTACTGCATAAGTATGATCTTTAAATGAGATAACACCTCTTTTAACACTACTTAATTTAGAATTAGGCTCACAGTAAGCATTTGATAAATGTTAACTCTTATGTACTAGCAAATAAATATATGTAATATATATTACTGTGCATATAATATATAGCATGCATATATATAGTGCATATGATTTAAATATATAATTCAGTTCTGTAAGTGAATAGGTACCCTTCAATTAATTTACAAAAGGCAGTTTTCCTGGACATGATGATCATCTACTCTAATCCAGCAAGTATATCTTTCTTTAGAAAAGTCAATCTATAGGGAATACAGCCAATAATAATATAACTTTGTAAGGTGACAGGTGGTAACTATACTTTTTGTGGTGAGAATTTTGTAATATATATAAATGTCAAATCACTATGTTGAACACCTGAAACTAATACTGTATGTCAACTGTACTGTAATTTAATAAAATCAGGGGCACCTGGGTGGCTCAGTTGGTTGAGCATCCGACTTGATTGTGGCTCAGGTCACCATCTCACCAAACATGAGATGGAGCCCACATCGGGCGCTGTGTTGACAAGCATGAAGCCCGCTTGGGATTTTC